GTGTGACCAAAACAACTGCATTCAAGAAAGAACGAGTTACTATTTTCTTTCAATCATATAAAAATGCGTTTAGCAAAGAAAACTTTGAACCATGAAAAAATTTTAACGTCGATGAGACGGGTATTACTACTGTGTAGCAACCAACTAAGATTTCGGCACCAAAAGGACAAAGGCAAATAGAAGGAATGACATCTGGAGAAAAATGTGTTCTAGTTACTGTCATATGTGGTATTAATGTTGCTAAAAATATTATGTTGCCTTTATTTGTGTTTCTGAGAGTAAATTTTAAAAGTCATGTTGAAAGGGGCATCACCTGGAGCAATAGGAGCTGCAAATCCGAGTGGATGGTCCAATGAAGATGTATTTTTTAGATTCCTAGAACATTTCGTATCACATGTTAAACCTACTTTGCAGGATAAGGTCATTTTATTGTAAGATAACCATCAAAGCCATGTTTCCATACCCACTATTAACTTGGCGAAGCGTTCAGGAGTCATTTTAGTTACTTTTCATCCCCATACATCACAACAATTGCAACCTCTCAATTTATCTGTTTTTGGACCCTTTAAATCTTTCTACAATAATAAAATGACTAATTAAATGAGTTCTCCAGGTAACGCATGGAAACAAGTTACCATATGACGTAGCAGAGTTGGCAAATACGGCATACTTGAAGGCATTTAGTCCAAACAATATAACCAAGGGCTTTCAAGTATCAGGTCTATACTCCTTAAACAGTGATATTTTTACTGAAAAAGACTTTTTGCCATCTAACATAATAGATCGAGAGGATCCATCTATATACAATCCTTCATTAATCCTTCCTGTTTATTCTGACCCCGATCCACCGCATCGTGATGCTTCCGAAACAGACCCTAAGCCTTCATCTTCTGGTTTAACGTCATCTTCCACACCAGAAGCTAAGTTGGATTTTTAAGAACCAATTCCTGTTATGTAAAGTTTTATTTCACCATATGAGGCTCGTCCCATTCTAAAACCTTTGCCGCGAAAAGGGAACATTTCTAAGGGGCGCAAAAAGGAAAGTCTCGCATTCTTACCGACACCCCAGAGTTTAATGAAATAAAACGTAAGTTAAATATTGAAGAAACGTCGTTAGAGGAAGATCAAATTGATTTTTTATTTAAAGCAAGCTTATTCCTTTGCATATGGCTATACATTTACGGTTGAAGATGAAAAGGAATATACAACCAACATCAGCAATATTATACAATAACTTCCTCAACCACGTACAGCAGGTTCAACCTCTCGGAATCAAACATATTTATATTTCCAATATCTTTCGATAAAATTAATTTAGGGTAGTCTGCGACCCATTCCTTACTATCAGTTACACCAACGTTTAATAACCAAATATTTGAATATTGAATCTTATTTTCTTATAATCTTTTCATGCATTTATTGTTAATAAATTTCTTAAGTTTCGCTTATGTGTGTATTATTAATAATTTAAGAACCAAATAATGCACATTTTGCGAACACATTTAATGCCTCATAATACCATGTTATTCATGACACTCAATAAAAAGTAACAGCTGTTTAAAAGCATGATATAGTTGTTCTCTAAATATTTTAACATTATACTAAAACAAAAGCAGCTGAAGGCAGAGCTATTGATTTAATTAAATATGTATTACTCGGTTTCAGTGAACCGAGTTGAGCACACTTTGTGATGGAAATAGTATTTCATTTTCTAGCAGCCATGTTTTTGTCAAGAAGAAAAAAACTTTTAAAATACTATTTGTTAGTTTCAAAAAAAGAAGATTATTTTTATTAACCAAGGTCGTCAGTGAACTTTATTAATTTATAAAAAATTTTAAATACATGAACACTAAAAATGTAATTAATTATTTAAACTTTGTATTAACTCGATAGTAAAAATTCGATATCTTTTGATTCGACAAAAATCAAAATGTTTTTCAATAAGCTTATCAATTATTTTAATCAGGAGACAAATATTTAAGTTTATTGAGGTAAAATAATTAAATACTGTTAAATCAACAGCGAATGCGCTATTCTTTATAGCGACGAAATACGCATGTGTGGTATGAAAGAGTTTTGCGGTTTTGAAAGAGATAAACTTTATAAAGCTTCAGATCTCTCGGATCATAACTTCTATAGAACGGTCCACAAACTCACCGAATGATTTAAGCAAATATTTGACAGCTTACACTTTTTTTTTGGTCATAAAACGTATCCTGGCAGACGCAAGTCAAAAAATGCTTACTTAGCGCCTTGCTAAAAAAATCACCAGCCTGTTATTTACTAAAAGAAAATCTACAAAACTATATTTCAAGCGACTAGTTGTCACGGCGTATGTTGCACTACTAAAGAACTGGCTAAAGTTAAAACCTTGACAACTGTACCTTACTGAACAGAAATGACAAGTATAACTACAAAGGAATACATAATATGGAACAACTATTTGCTTGCTCAAACTGCCTGCATGATGCACTCTATTAATTCCTAGATTATATTTATGAGTTATAAGCATGTTATAATGTCACCAAAGACAGAAAAAGACAGCAGCTTCTCGCACAATTACAGGCCAATAGGCTTACTACCTGCAACTAGCAAGATTGTAGAAAGAGTAATACTCAGCAGACTCCAAGCTGAAACAGATAGGTTAGATATTATACCCGAAGCACAATTCGGCTTTAAATTATAGGACTCCAGTGAGCTACAAGTACTCAGATTAACAGAGTATATAGCAGCTGGATTTAACGACAAACAATACACAGGAGCTGCCTTCTGTCTGCAAAGCTTTGTAAGCAAATTAATGTAAGCAAAGCTTTCGACAAAGTCTGACGTAAAGGACTGATTTATAAAATGAGAAGATATGGTTAGAGTCGAGCAATGACAAGACTAATCTCATCGTACTTAAGCAATCGTAGTTTCAGAGTTCGAATAGGACAAGTCCTGTCCGATCTCGGAAACCCGGAGGCTGGAGTACCACAGGGAGCGGTTCACCTCTATTGTACACAATATACACAGCAGACATGTTTAGAACACCAGGTACATTACGAAGTCTATATTCCGATGATACAGCGATAGCGGCCAAACATAGAGACCTAGACATAGTGGTAAACAACCTACAAACAGCATTTGATGATATAAAAGAATGGAGTGTAAAATGGAAAATAGCTTTAAATTCTGAAAAGACATAGGCTGTACTTTTCAAAAAGAGGCACCAGCAACCAGAAGAACTAGTGACTGTGTAAAACAACCCCATCGAGTGGGAAAGCAAAAAAAAATATCTCTGGTAATTATGGGCAAAGGCCAAAACGTCAATAACAGGCCTAGCAGAAGAAAAAAGCAAGCTAAGAATAAAAAGGAAGATAAGAATATTAAATAGTATAATTGTTCCTATACTGACATATGCATTTCTCGTATGGGGATACATATGCAAACATTATCCAAAAAGAAAATACAAGCGGCACACAACAGCAGCCTAAGAAAAGTAGCCAATGTACCAAAATACGTTGCAGAAAGATTCCTCTTTGGAGATTTACAACGAATCAGAGTGACTGAGATTATGAAAAATAAAGCAATGACAAAGTTCGCAGATATAGAGAATAATGCAAGTCACATAATGCGACAGATAATGAGGTATTACGTTTTTCATAGATAAAAGCACAAAAGCCCGAAACAACAAATAGTCAAATAAAATCAAACATATACTAGAGAGAAAATAATAAAAACACCAAAGAGAAATTATACAAAAAACAACATAACAGCACACAAAGAAGATAGTTCGTTACTCGAAAAAACTCGTAAACAATTGGAACGTACAGCGTGGGCTCAGTTACTTTTGAGTGGACAAACTTCATATTATCAGATTATTAACCACCTAGGCCACCAAAAAAAATTAAAAAATACTAACAAAAACCAGCACAAGCCAACAAAAAAAAATTAACAAAATCCTCAAAAAACCCGGGCACGTATGGTCCAACCTCTTGAGCACTAAGTCTCCGAGCTGAGTCTAGCTCGGAGCGGAGACTTAAGGCAAAAGTAAGCAATTTTAGTTCGCGGATAAGCCACTTTATAATAACAGGATTATAGCGACAATGCGCTGTCCTGATTTTAATTCGGTTAAGAAACCATGTTGGAGTTCTATTACCCAGGACTTCCTCATGAGGAGCAGTTGGCTTATATGTGTGCCCCTATTGCACATAAGAGTGCCTAAGATCGGAAAGGGATAATCTGGAGCATTGGAGCGCGGAGGTGACTCCTGTTTTTATTCGAGTTAATACATCTAGCTCCAATGAATTTTTACACCCAAAGGGGTGAACATCAGGGTGGAGTGAAGCATGAAGAATTTATTTTTTATTCGAAATGTAATAGCGCGGAAAAGTTGCTTACTGCATAGAGGAGTACTATGTTTTTTTTACTTTTTTCTACTATTTCATCTTTAGGGTTGTACAAGGTAAAACAAAAAAATTATAAAATTTTTTTTTAGTGTAATAGCGCGGAAGCTAAATATATTAATGACTATTAGGCTTTTTACCAACTTTTATAGTTTCAAAAAGTCTTCTACATTTAAAAAGACAAGAAAATACAAATCCCTTATTTTATAACAACTTTTAATATAGAAAACAATAAAAATCTCTAAGATAGAAAACAAACCATTTACCAAATAAACAGGTTCTCTTTAAAAAAAAAAAGTTCAACCAAATATTTTATCCTAGACTATTAAATGGAAATTAAACTGCTACTTGTCTTTAAATTCCTAAAAAATTTATGCACTGTATTGCGCCTTAGTGTTAAATCGAGGTAATATGGCTCTTGAATGAAGTCATAGCCGAGGACAGAATTCAAAGCTTCTGATGCAACCTTCACACATCTTTCTCCTGCTTCAGCATGACAAGAAAATGACGAAAAATTTCATCACAATTAATACATTTTCTAATATCCTCATCAGTTGTAGCACATAAAAGGGAAGTAATTGTAACAGAGAAATTTTGCCAATCAATAAGTTCATATTATTCACAAGCATTGAAATTTAAATCAGGACTTAGAAATTCTCTTACATTCGTGTCCAAAGTAGGTATTTTTGTGCGCGTCTTCAACATTCTGCGTAAAGCAAGTTGTCTTAGCGCAGAATGATCATCAAAAAGCATTGCTAGGAGAAGGTTCTCCGTATGACAAAAATACGAATTTCTTCGTATTTTTTCGAATGTTCGAACATGACCAATGACGGCTTTTAACTCGTTGCTCAGGTAGCTTGATAATTGAACCATTTTAAAGACGTGTCTTGCTCCTTCACTACAGGATGGCTTTGTTTTAATATTAAACCACACTGGCGCATAAACTTTTACCATAAATTCAGCCAAAGATCTTAAAACCAACGACATATTTTCAGTTCCAACGTAAACACGCAATATACGATTTGCCTTTGTAACTGATCGTGCATGTGATAATTCACCCGGATTACGAGTTGCTAAATCTATCGAGCACTTTCCAATAGAAACCGAATGACAAATTTCGTATAAGTACTTGATCACTGCTAAGGTCCCTTATAACTGCAGCATCTAATTGTGGTAGAGTGGTATGAATAGGAACAAAATGGATTACTGGCAAATTTTCGCAAGACTCCAATAGTTTACATATGCTGCCAGAGTATTCACGAGGTCCAAAGTTTCTCGATCGAGAGATTGACAGATATGCCGGAGGGGCAATTCATTCATGTGTAACAGACAAATTGACCACTGCAGAGGACGTTTCAGTTCTGTCTCTAAAAACCATAAAACCCCATTCTTCCTCCCAGTGTTGACTGCTCTACCGTCGCAGCCTACTACTAAAAGATTACCTGTGCCAATACTGGATTCTTAAAAAAAATTTGAAATAGATTTAGCAATATGTCTTCCTGTACCTAACGTTGGAGTAATGTGATTTAGATATTTAGAACCTGGTTCTTTAAGTAACAAAATGTGTTCTTCGGTTTTAATCTTGCGATGAAGTTTATCTCCAACCTTTTCTTGGCACGGAGTTTTATCCTTTCTGCCTGAACTTTTTTACTTTTAAATTATGTCTCATTACGTCTTTGTTTTGGATATTTGATGAGAGTTTGGTACTTACTCAGGATATCACGAATTAATTGAATAATACGATTGCTTGATATAATGGGAACTGAGGCTTTTTCCCAGATGGCTTCGATTTCACTGGTAAGTAATTGAGAAATAACTAGAACACTAGGATCTTTGCCGGAATCCATACATTTAAGTTCATTTCTAATACGTAGATATCGCTTCATAACATCTTCTATAGTTGGCAAAAAATTAGAAGGTATATTCGCAGGTGCACCAAATAAAGGACAATTAGTAGTGCCCCTAGTGTCTTTTACTGGCAAACTCATTACGTACCGATTAATTATTACAATAACGATCTTATCTCTACGGCTATCACAGTGGGACTGAAGACTGAACTCACTTCGTCTTACTTACTTTGTCGAACCGATCTAGCACGAAACAGGTCAAAAAACGTTTTACAGGAAAATATTATTTCACGGGACGCCGTTACAGTTGGCGTAGCTTTATTTAATAAACATTAACTGTAAGATGAACATTGAACATTATTTCATGAGATTTTTTATCTGTTTTATTTCCAAAAATATTGCTCAAAATATTTACTTGGGTTACAGATAGAGCTCTAATAACTCTAGAGCTCTTTTTTTGTGATACGTAGTATACAGCCAGCTACAGGAATTGTTTTCCTTGTGGATTTTAAATATATTTTCGTTTTTAAGGGTAGGTTGTAGCTCCTAAATATCTTGCTAATTCTGACAAACGCTAACCTGGCTTTTTTAATTATTTGTTTTATCTCAACTGAGTGGTCCCATTGGTCGTTTGTGGTGGATCCTAAATAGTAGTAACGGGGCACTTGGAGTATTTGTTGCTGATCTACCAGTAATTGAATATGCTTCTTACTGATGATCATGTACATTGTTTTTTTTTATGTTAAAATTAAGCCCATATTCTTGACTGATTCTCCACAATAGCGTTACTAGCGCCTGTAGACCTTCTAAACTGTCTGCTAAGAGGATGGTATCATCTACTTATCTGATGTTATTCAGGCGCTCACCATTTATAAGAATAACCTCTTCGATATGCTCTAAGGCCTTTAATTGGGTAAGATATATTATAATTGTCTTAAATACCTTTGCTTTATTTTTGTATTAACCGTTTCTGTAGGGTCTTAATTTCAACCAGTGCTGTGCAACGTGTCGCCGCCAATTTTATTTGTAATTTCGATTGGTATTTTATAATATTACACTTACGGCAATTTTCTTAATTTTGAAAGATAACCTATAGTTAGATTTGGACAATGCTTACATTGACAGTACTACCAAAATAAAATTTAAAATTATGGGACAGTCTAAATGTTACGCAAGAGTACCAACAGATTATTTTGTATTATTGAATTTAAACATAAAAAACGATCAATTTTTTTAAAATTGTCACTTTAAGTACCATTGGTCTACAAAAGTTTAAACTTTTTAGATTATATTTCGTGTCTTTAATCTCCGATATTTAACAAGGTTAGTCCATAGGCGCTTCTATCCCGCGGTATAACTTAAAAATAATTAATAATCTAACGAAAAGTCTAAATTTTATCGCTAACCCTTAGACGCTAATTAAATCTTAATGAGTTTTTATTGAACCCCAACCTACTGCGAGTAACGGTGTTGTCTGGATAGTCCAGGCCGTCTTTTATGATACTATTTTCGAACAGAAACCATTTTATAAAGCGACTACGTGATATAATTTATAAATCTTTGAAAGAAGTGTGACTATCTATTTAAGTTTCGGATCAAAAGAAAATTAATGAATTCTGGATTTAGATTTTGTATAGTTGGATTGCGTGCCGAAGGAATAACATAATCGGGATGATGAATGATCGGTTTGTGCTTTTAACTTGAAATTGGTTGAAAAACTGTTAGGCAATCAGGAGTTTGTCAAAATTTCTGTTATAGTTTTTTACCAGCACGGAAAACATGAATATTCGTGCGGCATATATCACGCACCATGAATACGACTGAGTTTTTAGATTGTTATAATTAAATAATAACTTGGGTTTGTTAATGTGCTCTATTATACTGTGTTTCTAGACATAATACAGATCTCTCTTCTACAAGAAATCTACGTTCCTGTTGACTGTATACCATATATTAAAACAATTATTAAAATTCTTTGTATAAGGTATATATTTACGAAACGTTTTATGATCACAGATCACGTTCTCAGAATACAGATCTCTTTATCAAGCATTTGTCGCCGTTATTTAGTATTTATTTATTTACAAAACACTCCCATTAAAAATGTAAGTTCTTTATTTCTTCTTCTATTTATGTATACATAACTGTTAGCTTTACAATGTATTTCAGTAAGTTGTCATCCCATCGTTTTTGTGGACTTCTCACCAATTGTCTTCCTAATGGCTTTCCGTCCACTTTTGTAAGGGTCTCTATCTCTGCTGTTTCTAGCAATCTTTTTTTCTCTCGGTGTGGGCCCGTATTTTTGCAGCGTTTATTTTTTTTTTTATTATTATTTAAAGAGTCAAAGTCGCATCCACCCAAAGGTTATTAGCGACATTCCTGTAACATTTGTAATATTATTAAATTTAACTTTTGTAACAATCAATCATTGTAACAATTAATTACAATTTGTGAACAATTTAACATTTGTAACAGTTAATTAACTTAAATTTTGTTAAACTTTTGTTGAAGAGTGCCTTCAGGTTATTTGGCAAATCGCATGACTGTCTTTGATTTACATATTCACGGTTCCAACTATAAGAGTCTCGTTACTTACACCTTTCTATGTTCGTTAAAAATGGAAATAGCCTGGACTGTTATTTTGAAGAGGGGGGGAGGGATATCCCACCTTTTTTTTTGGAAGTTTGTAAAATTTTGAGAGAAAGAAAATCACTCTGGTTAGGGCAGTCTTTGAGTAAAGACGCTTGCTTCTTCTTCTTCTTTAAGTTCCACTCCTATCGGAGATTGGAAATCATTCTGGCAATTATAATGTTATTGGTTACGCGCCTGAATAGTTCAATTGAACTGCATCCAAACCATTCACGGAGCTTGCGTAGCCACGAGATTTTATGTCTTTCTACGCTTCTTCTACCTTTGATTTCACCCTGCATTATATTCCTTAGTAGTTCGTATTTTTTACCTCTCATGATGTTCCCCAAGTATTCCAATTTCCTGATTTTTATGGAATTTAAAACTTCGCATTGTTTTCCTAGTTGTTCGAGAACTTGTTCGTTTGTTTTGCGATCCATCCATGATATTTTCAAAATACGTCGGACGCTTGCTTATCTTACAGATATCTGTAAATTTTTTCTTTAAGTGTGTATACCTTCATTTTGATTAACTTCAGTGCTTGATACCAGTAAAGTATAGTAGAATCAGTGAAATAGTGCAGAAGCTATAGAGATTTATAGTAATCATATTACCTTTAATTATCTGGGAGAATAATATAACTTTCAATCAGTTATTAAGAACTTTTCACAAATAATAATTATGAACATTTAATACTAAGTAAGAACAGTTATTAATTAAACTAAAAAAAGTGCGAGACAGACAGCAAACTTTCAACCAAGTGCGGGTTGGTTTCATTTTTATAATACAGAATTCTGGTAATCTTTTTGTATTCTTTTGAATTTAAATTTAATTAAATTTGCTGTACCCGTTATCTCGAGATAAGCCCATACACAGTGAAGAGAGATTTCTTTAATCAGTTCATTTTTTTTTTATTTTCATATGTATAGCATCATTTAATAATTGCCGGTGTTGAATAGATTGTCCTGTTTTATTAACGAATTTTATTTTCCGACTCCTAATAATTTTCCCGATGAAATAATACCTCTGAATATTTTCTAATGACCTTAAATTGTTATTATACCTTCGGTCGAGAGAAAGATCACGATGACTAGGTTTCGTAGGTAGGTAGGTCAGGTAGATGGACGGAGTCCACCTAATATATTTATTATTTGTTTATGTAGTGTGTTGACCAAATTTATTTAATAATTAAATGTTGATATAGTTTCTTGGATTTGGTCTTAGAACCTAAATATCTTTGCTTATCTCTTTTTGTTTCTAAGGTTTTTTAAATTTCCCCTTGAACCCCAAACAGTTAAGTGGCGCCCTTTTTCTATGTTATCTTTGGTAACTTTTTAATTTAAACCTAAGACCCGCTTTCCACCAACCATCTGGCTGCCGTCCGTGTCCGTGACCAGTGTCTCCATTGGTGACCTTTCTAGCACCATTCAAAAAAGATTTCCGATGTTACAATACTTACGGTCTTTTATATAGCCCGATGCCTGTGGAATTGGTAAATAAAACAAGAATTAA